GAGCTCCGGCCGCGTCATTTACCGGATGGGAGGTCGCCCTGGTTTGAAGGGAGTTAAAACTGGTTGAGAAGTGATCAGAAATGAAACTGGACTTTGTTCGGGCGGGAGGCGGAAGAACCGCTGGTAACGCGCGCGGAGGAGATAATCTGGTTACAGATTAGCCCCGGTTCCTCCTCCTCCGGCCTTGCTCAGGAGGGCTGTACACAAGTAATCCCAAGTGTCCAAAGATTAGTTAGCCCAGGAGTTTGAACTCCTCGCGCTCCTGTCTCGAGTGCAACAGGGTTTCCGGGACAGAAACTCTCCCGGGTGCTGCGCTCAAGTTATGGCTATTTTAATGGCTTTTGCCTGTTTCTGATGCGTCCTAAAATAGCCACAGAAACTTGAACCCCAGGGCCTGGGCTTGGGTGAGCAGGTGCACTCCCTGCAGAGTGTCCTGGGAATGGGCCGGAAGTGAGAGCCAACCATGACCTGATCCGTGTAACTCAGGAGCGAGCTGTTTTGGGGCCAGCCTGAGCTGGCAGGGTCGTGAGGCCGCACTCCCGGCCTCGGAGCTCGTGCCGGGACTGCTTTTGGCACGCCACACTGTGTCCGGTCCTGGTCAGGATGGTGCCCAGCACGGAAGGGTAGTGTCTGCGTTTCCTCCTGAGACCTGTGGTGAAAGGCCTTCCTTCTTGCAGGAGGATGTTCTAATTTATGTGTTTGGTTTTGGCTTTTTTAATGTTGTTTTTTTTTTTAATGCAAAGGGCTTCAGTTTCTCCTTGTTAGCTGTGCTGATGTGAAAAACCATAGGTTCAGTTACCTTGGCCAGACTCCTGGACGTGCTGGTTGAACGAGCCACGCCTGGGACAAAGGTTCAGACCAGCATGAGCTGGTGCTGGTATTTGAGACTTCTGCAGGGATGGTTACCTCCGTGTGTGCAGAAAAGGAACTGGCTGCAGGAAGGCTTCCTGCGAGTTTGAGCAACAACAAGCAACGCCTTTGCCTTTCGGTTTCGTAAAGGCTTGTCTTGCTCGCTTATTCATGAGGGGGCACTGCAGGTCAAACTGGGGAACTCTGTTCTTCCAGTCACTAAAACCACATTAATGAAACGAGGACGCATCTGCCTGGCTGTAGGTGACTGCCCTGCGTTTCAGCTCGAGGGGCAGGGCTCGTGCCAGGCCGCAGACTGGCTTCTGTGCTGTGGTTGTGGTGCGGTGTGAGGTGGGGGAGCGTGGCGTGCACAGAGATGGCAGCTGTGCCCAGGATAGGGAGGGAGGAACTAGAAATGGGTTATTGGCTGGTTTGTGTCTGGCCCAGGCAAGCATGAGCAGCAGACAGGAACTTGCTCTCCATCACTGGCACTTGGCAGTGACTCTTGGAGCTCTGGGCTGTATCTTCTCACTGGTGGCCCTGTGGGGTGTTTGGTGTCATGTGTGCCTGCCTCTAAACCAGCGTCTCTCACAGGAATGCTTCGGAAGCTGGAAATCCAGAAAGAGGAAGACCTGCAGTCAGTGCGCGAAGTGGCTGCCCACGTGTTCAGTGATGGAGTGACAAACTGGGGTCGAGTGGTGACGCTCATCTCCTTCGGCGCCTTTGTTGCGAAACACCTGAAGAGCATAAAGCAGGAGAGGTGCATCAGCTCGCTGGCGGGGATCATCACGGACGCGCTCGTCTCGTCCAAGCGCGAGTGGCTGATGAGCCAGGGAGGCTGGGTGAGTCACTGCCTGTCCCGAACGCTGCGAGCTGTTCAGAATGGTCCAGTGTTTTCCTGTTTCTGTGACCTGCTCCCTGACAACCACGTGTGTCAGCGAAGCACAGATGACTCACTGCTCTGGTTAAAACCACAGCCTGAAATGTCTGGCTGGAGCTCTGGTGTTTTCAGGAGCTCCTTACCATGGGCTGCCTGAACCAGTCATGTCCTAAAAATGTGCTGCTGCCCAGCATGGAGGAAGGGGTGGGAGGGGGGCAGTGTTCCCAAAGCTGAGTCCATCCCAGCTGTGCTGAGCTTGGTCCACAGCTGCTCTGGTGCCATCTCCCGATTGCTGCCCCCATGGCGCAGGCTGTGGCTGTAATGGGTCTGGGGGAGCGCTCCCAGTGGCTGTGCTGGGCAGGCTGTTCCGCGGCCCAGGCTTTCCATGCCTTCCTGCCAGAGAAGGGTGGCTGGCAGGGAAATGACTGTCCCTTCTTTCTCCTAGGAGGGCTTTGTTGACTTCTTTCGAGTTGAAGACCTAGAAGGCAGCATCAGGAACGTGCTGATGGCATTTGCTGGCGTGGCTGGACTGGGAGCGAGCTTGGCCTACATGATCCGGTGAGCCAGGGTGGCTGCAGCGGGAAAGAACTCTGGGCGGACTGGCTCGGTCTGGGGCCGGCAAGCTGCTCGCTGCCTCCTGCGAGAGCTTGCGAAGCTGGACTCGAGTGACCCCAGGAGAATATCTCGGCATCCCCTGAGCAACCCTTTCCTAAGAAGGAAGGTGTGATCCAGTGAGGTTGTGGGTGCTGATGAGGATTTCATTGCTTTGGGAAGAGAAAGCGGAAGAACTTTTTATTCTGCTTCCTTCAAGAGGACGATGACAGAGAGCTCAAGTGGACTGCTTTGGTTTTATCCCGGAGTGAACTGATCTTTAGCAGCAAACCAGTGAGCACCAGCAGCTCCTGTCCGGTCTGAAGCCTCGTGGGCTCGGCGCAGCGCCATACGTGGAGCAGGTGCTTCAGGGTTGTGGTTGTGAGTTTCTGGAAATGGTGACGTCTGCTGCTGCTGGTGTCCTGCCTAAACTTGTGGCTTTTCTGTTGGAGCAGAAGCATTGAGTGCTGGGGGGTGTGTGAGCTTGTGCCTGCTCCCAGGTGTGCCAGCTCTGCCGGCTCCGCGCTCCTCCGCCCTCCGGAAGTGGCAGAG